ATATATTTTTATAATATATAATAGTAGAATTTAACAAAGTGACAATCTTTATAAATAAAATTGTAATATTATATGAATCTATTATTATATGACAATGGAACATAAAAAAAAAAGGAGAAAACTAGAAAATACAGTGTCTAACCGACTGCAAAATTAAATGGTTTTAATCTTGATCATTATGCTTTATTACAAGCGACATACTTTTCTAGTTTTGCGGGTCACCTGTGGAATCCAGATCTTGTTTCCATTACATGCACATACACAATTGAACACGTGCAGGTGATCACGCGTTTATTAGTCGCGATCGCGCGACTGCATTAAAATTGAAAAAAAAATTACAGTGCGTGAAAAGAATGTAGCTAACGATGCGTTTTTGCCAGCAGAGATTTACGCATTACGAAACATTTTTATGATGTTGAACGTCTACAGACGTAGAAAGATTAAGCATTTGTGCTTGTGTAAACGTTAGCTTACTACTGGATAAGTAAATTCAAGATGAACGATCCAATCTGTAAACAGAGCATCTATAATTTTAGGAAATTGAAGATACAACGATTGTTCTTATTTTTCAATCATATATTGCGTATCATGCGATGATATATTCCTTTTTTTTTTATTTAAATATAATAATTTAAAAAATAATCAAGACAATGAAATTTTATGTTTACGCGAAACAAAAATTATATCATTATTTATAATAAATTATAATCATGATCGTATTCAATCAATCCTCAAATTGAAGAAATTTTAATCTATATATTCAATATATATTATGTTATGTATGTATCAATAAAAAAATAAACTTTTTGATTCGTTCTCCCTTTAAAGCAACTACGAACTTGACGTATGCATGAGTACGCGCATAACGCGACCGATTCGAAAATAGATGTCTTATTTTCTACACGGCTCAGGAGAAAATAAACTCAATCTGTGGCAACTCCGTGCTATTCTTGATCTGGTACACCATTACGTGTCCTGTGTCGTGGATTAATCGGCTTAGTCTTCGTGCCTATTTTGAAACGAAATTATTAAACCTAATGTTCGTCAATTGACCGTTCAAGCAATGATATTTCGATACACACTCTAATTGTACATACTCATATAGAAAAAGGTCTGATAGAGTATCGTTATCATAACCAGATCTTTAATTTTTGATTCCGTGAATTCTATCACGAGACGGAGCAATTTGAGTTCTATCTAAAGCACTTGACGAATTTTTTTTTTTTAAAAAAGATTAAATTATGCATTATTCAAACAATAATTATCATCCCAACGTGATTTTTAGAAATATAACTGCTACTGTGGCTGGATGCATGTCGATGAATATTCAACGATATTTGCATATTTTCGATGGTCATTGTCTATTACAATTACGAAATATAAACTTCATTATTTTTTTAAAATTTTTATTATTTTTGAAATTTCGATCGATGAAATATGCCATTTATTTCTTAGACCCTTCATATTAATTTTTATGTAATGCTCGAAGAACACGTAATTCGCATTACATAAAACCGAAGAACGTTGAATTAATAATGACGTGATAAAGTGAAATTGATGTGGTCACGGTTTTAGAACGGTGAAAAAAAAAAAAAAAAAAGAAAAAAGAA